CGATGTCATCATGCTTTCCCCCTCCCCTTCTATCCTTTCCGCGGGACAGGTTGGTGTTGTGAAACAGACGGAGACAGCTGCAATGAAGAAAAGCCAGTGCGAACAAGAGCAATCCCTTCACCTGCATGTTGTCAGCCACATCCACAAAGGTCAGTCGTAGAGTTCAAGTTCAACCGATAAACGCAATGAAAAAACACACATGCGTGTTACATACTCTTTCCATCATCATGATTGTCAAAAATGGAATGATCATCATAGTGATCATCAACATCATTCCACATTGATTGGTGGGGATGTTCTCGTGGTAGCTGGTGCGGTTGGAGTCAAAGAGGTACACACACACACACACACACACACACACACACACACACACACAGGCAGGGGCACGTGTCCCAGCGTGGGGTGTACCTTTGCCTTCTTGTCCTTTCCTTCCGCAAACTTGCGCAGATTTGTGGCGATGCTGCGAATGCGCTTCGAGTTGATGTCTGTCGTAGTGCAGCGAACACACAACCAACCGCAGCACCCCATTAGCAGTCGACTGCGACACACGCAGCATTGCATGCTCGGGCAACTACCTGCATGCATGCATGCACATACATGCACACACTCGCGCTCTCTCTCTCACACACACACACACACACGCACGCACACACACACACGCACACACACACACACACGCGCACGCACGCATTCAAACACACTTGCACACACTCTCGCGTTCGTCCACGTGTACACAACAGGGATCGCACCCTTGAGGAGGCCCTGGAAGAGCTCGTCAATAAAGTACTCGTTCTTGAAGTGCGGCGAACGCTGCACGTGGCGCACGTCACACACGCACGTTGGCGCGCCCGTCGAGTTTGATGTCGGGTGTGATTGTGTGTGTGTGTGTGTTTGGTTGTGATTGTGTGTGTGTGTTGCGTTAATGTGTGTATGAAGGTGAGTATGTGCGAACACGTGTGAATGTGACATGTGTGAGTGCACAGGTGGCGTGTGCATGCAAAGAGTTGGCGCGTGCGCGCGCGTGCAAACACGAAGAAACAGGGACGGAGAAACGAGAGAGAGAGAGAGAGCGTTTCTGTGTGTGTGTGTGTGTGTGTGTGTGTGTGTGTGTGTGTGTGTGTGTGTGTGTGTGTGTGTGTGTGTGTGTGTGTGTGTGTGTGTGTGTGTGTGTGTGTGTGTGTGTGTGTGTGTGGCGTGGGGGGGGGGGTGGTTGTGGTGCAGTTCGTACGTCAAAGTAGCCAATCTTCTCCACGAGGGCCTCGCGGAACTTGATAAAGTCGTCCTGTGGTGATGTGCGGGTGTACGGAATGCAGGCGATGGTGAGGTAAAACAACTCACAAGTGTCGCTGTAAGACAAACACAAATGCACACACCGGTGTACCGACACACGCACACGTACACATACATACACGCACACGCACACACACGCACACGTACACATACATACACGCACACGCACGCACACGCACACACACGCACACACACGCACACGCACACATACAGAGCGCATAAAAGCCCACGCAGCATACAGCACAAGCACCTTGGTGGCTGGCTGGAAGTCATCGATGGAGATGCGCTTCTGGTCCTCGTCGCCGTACATGTCGGCAACGTCGGCAAGCTCCCGGCTCTCCATCTCCCTGGACACGTGCATGCGTGTACATGTCAGCAGGAGGCGAACAAACGTGCTCTCATCTGACATGCGAATGTTCACACATATGTGGCCGTGTGGACCCGTACATCGCAGTCCCCTCTCCATGTCCCTTCTCATCCCCCGCTTCTCACACACAGCAAACATGTACACATGCAACTGTGTCTGACGGACTTCTTGCGCGCGATCCTGAGGCTCTCGAGCTCTTCTGGTGTGAGATCCGGGTCCTCTGGCAGCGGCTCGGGCTCCTCGGCCTTCTTCTTCTGCTTCTTCTCGCCACCAGGCTTTGGTGCAGCAGCCACTGACAACGCACACGAACACGTGTGTGGGTGTGGGTGTGGGTGTGTTGATGTGTGGATGTGTGGATGTGTGCGTGTGTGTATAAGCAGGGTGCGAAGGTGAGAACACTTGAAATGCACGCATGCAACGCACACATGCTTGTACGCATACACAGGCACACACACACGGAGGAACCGTTGTCATGACCATACGTTGCTTGTGCAGCTCGAGGATGGCCTGCATCATCTCCTTCTTGTCTGTGAGGTTTCTGTACTTCTCAGGAAGGGACTCCAGCTCCTGCATCCCGAGCCACACCAGCGCACACATGTATTCAAGCGGGCGCGTGAGCTTGTGTCTTATCGGGGGGTTGGATGGGAGGAGGACGAAAGCAGAGGCCACGGGAAGGCGGAAATGATGCGTACCGGATCGGGGAGATCAACCTCATCCGGTTCCTCGTCAAAGTCCTGCTGCGGCTCGTTATCATCATCGCCGCCAAGGAGATCCTCTGTGTACACACACACACACACATACATCAAAAGGTGTGAGCCACGTGACAGAGCAACGTGAACGTGTGCGCCTGCGCGCCTGTGCGGCTGTGAGCCACCGCACATGCATCCACCGTCTCTCCTACGACGTACCCCAGTTGTCAATGTCGCCCATGGTTCCAGGTGTACGTCAAGTTGAAGAAGAAGAAGTCTGAAGCTGTGGGGGGGATGTGTCGTTGCACTGACAGCAAAGAGAACAAAGCACAACAGCAGAGCAACAGCAGAGCAAAGCGTAATTGGCGCATCAGCAGCACGCGTGTGTGTGTGTGTGTGTGTGTGATTTTCTCCACGCACAAACAAACCAGCAGAAAGAAAGCAGCATGGGTGATGATGCACCTCGCAAGGTGAGGCGAGGCGTGCGGTTGCAGTGCAGTGTTGTGTGCCAATGTTCCTGTGCCCTTCCAACCTGCCCTACACACGTGTGCTGTTCGCACCCCACGCTTTGCTGAACCTCTTCCTCTCTCTCTCGCTCTCGCTTCGTTCACTCCGCACGTCCAATAACCACCCCATCTTTCAGACGTTTGCGCCCAAGATCCCGGGCAAGAAGAAGAAGAAGAAGAAGACAGTGGTAAAGGCCGAGCCTGATGTGAGCTCCGCGCCATCGTCATCATCGTCGTCCTCTAAGTCGCTGTCCAAGGCGCCCGTGAGCATCAAGGCCCCGCGTGGGCGACAGGGGGGCGGGCGCGGCCGGGGACGCCGCCGCGAACAGTACACACACAAGGGCGAGGGCATCTTCTCCCATGGCTTCTCCACTGGCGAAGCAGCTTCAGCCAGCAGCAGCAGCAGGAGCAGAAGCATGCGCGCTGGACCGCCCAGCATACGAGCAGCTCGGGGACGCACCGTGTCCTCAATAGTCACATCCCACAACCACGAAGCAGAACTGGACATCACGGTCGGTGGTGGCGCGCGCGCGTGTGCATGTGTGTGTGTGTGTGTGTGTGTGTGTGTGTGTGTGTGTGCATGTGTGTTTGTGCATGTGTGTGTGCATGTGTGTGTGCATGTGTGTGTGTGCATGTGTGTGTGCATGTGTGTTTGTGCGTGTGTGTTTGTGCATGTGTGTGTGCATGTGTGTTTGTGTCTGTGTGTGCATGTGCCTTTCTGTGTCTGCGACTCGCCGTTGTGTGCTGTGTCTTGCTGAACGCGAGCCATCTTGTTCCCCTCCTCCCCCAACGCGCAGAAAGAGGAGCGACCGCATGAAGGCTCGTGGTACCTGTCCACTGAACCCCAAGACAGACCAACCTTCTTGCCTCTTGGAACCACCACTGTTGATGGTTGGTACTACAACAATCGGCCACTGTTGACTTGTGCCGCCTGCTCATATGCGATGCTTGCCTTTGCCGCTGGTCATGCCTCATTGTCGTGTTGGCATGCGTTGCCTCCTTGTTGTGTACCAGATGACAAGGACTACAGTGCACCGATTGAACCAGCTGATGAGAAGCCCGGCCCTGCCACGCTTAGCCTCTCCGACACAGGTGCATGTCCTGCATGCGCCTTGTGTATGTGCGTGTGTGTGTGTGTGTCGTGATGTGTTCTGCTTGGGATCTTGCCTGTGTGTGTGTGTGTGTGTGTGTCGTGATGCGTTCTGCTTGGGATCTTGCCTGTGTGTGTGTGTGTGTGTGTGTGTGTGTGTGTGTGTGTGTGTGTGTGTGTCGGAGACTGACAGACACCGCTGCACTCGGGTTGCGTCCACCGTTTGCGGTGCACGTCATGCCGCGGCATATCTTGCTTTCTGCCTGCAGATCGTTC